TAAGAGGTTATAGTAGAAAAGGTGGTATGCCCAGATGTATGGTGAAAATGGATATCCTGAAGGCTTATGACTCTATTGATTGGAGATCTATGCGTACCATCCTGGCTAAGTTGGGGTTTCCTAGGAAGTTCATCAATTGGGTGATGCAGGCTATTACTTCAGTCTCTTATCAGTTTAATATCAATGGGTATATCACTAGGAATATGAAGGAAGCTAGGGGGTTGAGACAGGGAGATCTAATATCTCCCTTGTTGTTTGTTGTGATTATGGAGTATCTTCATAGGATGTTGGAGGGCTTGAGTATTGATCCTAACATTAACTTCCATAGCAAGTGTGAAAAGCTAAAGTTAGTGGATCTCAACTTTGCTGATGATCTCTTATTGTTCTATAGGGGGATTCTACTTCTATGAGGATGATGATGGATGTTTTTTAAGATTTCTCAAAATCCACTAGGTTGAAAGTGAACCTCAACAAATGTAATATGTATTGTGGTGGTATATCTGATAGTGATCATGTTGCTTTGGAGCAAGTCACTGGTATTTTTAGAGGGAGCCTCCCTTTCGGGTGTCTTGGCATTCCCCTGTCTAGTAGGAAGCTTTCTAACTATCATTGTTTGGTGCTAGATGATAAAATTGGTGTTAAGATGAGGCATTAGAGCTCCCATATGCTCAATTATGCTGGTAGGGTTCAACTTGTTAACACTGTTGTTTTTGGTTGTGCCAATTATTGGTTTAGCAGTCTTCCCTTGCCTAAAGGTGTCATAAAGAAAGTAGATGTTATGTGTAGATCCTTTGTTTGGTCTCGTAAAGACATTATGACTCGTAAGTCTCCTATGCCTTTGGACAAAGCTTGTCTATCGAAGAAGCTTAGTGGTGTTGGCATAATTAACTTGTAGGTCTGGAAAAAAGTTTGCTTAGGTAGACTCCGTTGGGACATGTGTAATAAGTCAGATAACTAGTGGGTTCGTTGGATCTATACGTATTATGTGAAGAATAGGGATCTTATGCTAATAGATATTGAGGATACTAGTTATTAGGTCCTGAAAAGCATTCTTAAGATAAGGAATGAAGTGAGCGTGATGAGTCAATGGCAAAAGCTTAAGTCTACTGAGAAATTTTGTAAGAAGAATGTCTACTTGAATTTCTAGCAGCACCTGCCTAAAGCTGAGTGAAGGGTATTGTGTGCAGGAACAAAGCCAGACCTGGGGCTATTTTCTTGTCGTGGCTTAAGTGCAAGAAGAGACTGAACTTAAATTTAAATAACAAAAATTTTTGCAAAAACAAACAGTGTTTGTTTTAAATTTATGGGCTAATAGACAACTTTAGGACAGGTCACAGAGACTTGGGAAATGTCTTGAAATATTAGTATTATTTTAACACCGTAAGTCTCTTAAATTATAAAGATCGATATGGATAATTGTTATGCCTTATCCTTAAAATCTCACCCTAAAATAACTCCTTAAGTAGAATACTTTAGCAGTCGACACCATCTTAAGCATGCTCTATGTAGGGAAGTCAATGAATATACGTGAATGATCCTACTTTTTTTGCTTTAATTAATTGAAAATAGGGAATGCACCTTCTAAGTTAGGTGACCCTAACCCGGTCACTTAACCCAATTGTTGTGGAACCTGCAAAAATAGAATAAAAATTTATTGTTAGTTGGTTTAGAGGTATCTGGTGTTGAACTTGGTAGGGTGGATTACGGTCTGATCCCTCGCATCTACAATTGGGTAAACAAAGGGGTTACACCACTTTATGTACCAAAATCCCGTGTAAAAGATCGTAATTACTAACCGATTGCGTTACTATGAGTATGTACGGATAATAGGCTTAATGTGATTGTGATTGTATGAAAAATGATGAAAAATATGATGAGTAAGTTAGGCTTAAGCATAATGACATGATTCAGATTGGTTTGTATAGGAAAGAGACTTATGACCGCAAAATGTGGAATGTGTTTTTACGATGCTTTTGTTTTTGTGATTTAGTACCTATTGATATAACTTTCTCCGAACTAAAAGTCTTTAAGCCCAGAATAGCTATCGAATATCACTATTTACTTTCATTTTTCTTGAGGTTAAACAATGGTTTAAGTGTGAGAGAGTTTGATGAGACCAAAATATATCGTTTATTTGACTTGATTTGTGCATGTTTTATTGTCACATTTTTAGTTGGTACTGTTATAGATATTAGTATTAATAAAATACAATGAGCTAGTTCTTCTTCTAAATATTCCTGTTTTTTTAATACAAAAATTGAAAAGTTTTGAAAAACAATATGTCACCAAGAAATTACTGACCGAATTGCATATAAGATTGTTCTCTTTAACATAATTTGCGGTACTGCACAAAGTTGTGCAAACATGTTATCAAACAAAATTTTTTCAGGCAAAGTTCTAAAACCATAACAAAGATTTTATAGCTGGTATATCTCAAGAATCAAACTCAATTTTCCAAGAATATCCCAGTCTTAAGATTTATAACAACGTCACAACCAATACAATTTCTTTCTTACAGGTGGTTTTTCACTCAAATGCACTAAGGCAACTTAAGTGAAAGAAATATTTAGGGAGAGAGAGAGAGGGGGGGGGGGGATAGAGATCAATTCCAAAGAAAACATAGATCAACTTCAGAAATTTGATATAAATTTCATGGGAATTTTTAATGGCCCAATCGATTGGCCCTTAAACCCAATCGATTGAATGAGCGAAATAATCCATTATTCTGCCCCATTTTTGAAAGTTGTAAAAACGAGTCGTTGCTAGTTATTAAAACATTGTCATAATTGATTCTACAATTGTTTAGGTTTCTTCCAATCGATTGGCTTAAGGTCCAACTCTATTGGGTAGTTCAAAAAAGTATTTCCAATCAATTGGCTTAAGGCTCTGATCGACTAGGTAGTTCAAAAGTACCATTAAAGTAAAGCTGTAAATTTTCTAATCACTTGGCTCGATCTTGAAAAGATTTTAAAGAGATTTGATAGATAGAAAAGAGATTTTAAGTGTGTGTGTGTGCGCGCGCGTGTGTGTGTGTGAGATTGTGTGTTGTGTCACTGTGTGTGTGAGTTGCCGAAATATCTTAAGATTTACTTCTCTACTTTTATAAAATACTGGTCACTCAGACAGACACGACTGAACGAACTTTCATACTTCATCTCTTTCACAACTTTGAGGCTTCCAAGATCCTTTGATAGACATATCAATCATACAAGCACTTCAATGGAATCTTAAGTCTCATACTAGATGAGGCTTGAGATGTCTCCAAGATTGGTCATCATCATCAAAGAGTTGGAAAGTCATTACCACCGACTTTAATAGAGCAATGCTTGGTGTTGCCGTCATTAAATCTTTAGGAAAGAGTTTCGTACTTACAAGCACATAGATCTAGAGCACCAAAATATCAAGCCTCAATGTAGATCACGATGGAATATCAAACCGAGACTGCAAGACGATTAGTATCTTTCTAAAGTCTTCATTCTCCATAAAAAAAAAAATAGAAGCTCAACACACACAAGTACTTTCACAAGTTGCGCTTGATATGTCTCATAATCGAATTTAAAATAGCTTGGCAAACAAATTACTTACTCTTCTATAGTGGTTTTTCTCCTTATGTTTGGTTGGATCACATGCATTTTATCATAATCATAAGCAGGGCATCTACCTAGATGAATCTACATACCACTTCTTCCATTATTATACTTAAGACTCCGTAGTATTGATATTTAATATTTCCACATATCAGACCATAATTGACACTTTTTTTATTGGAATATGGTGACAATATAGCTTTGTCATAAAGACTAGTTGAGATTATAAGACTTGTATACTCTACATTTTCTGCCATCTATTTAATAAAAAATAATAGAATAATTAGAGATAAAATCAAATAACACGTGTTTTATGAAATGTTTTATAATATAAAAAGAGAAGTGCAACTAATAGTGGTACTTAAGTGATGACCAAATTGGCTACTAAATCACTGAAACCTATCTTTTAGTTATAAATGCTTCTGCTTTTAAGAACAGAACTTTGTGAACGAGATTAACTAATACATTTTCAATGAAACCTATTTCAATATTTTATTCTTTATGGCTTTAATAAAAAGGTTAAACTTTGTATGTGAATTGGCTACAGACATTATTCTACTCTAACAATTGAATCTCAGTTACCAAGAAATGAAAAAACTAAAAATGAATGAGTGATTATGTTACCTTTGATTCTGATTTTGAGTTCACAGTCTTTAATTATGAACTTTCAAATTTGTGATTGAACTTCTATTTTGGATTGATTGTAAAAGCAAGATATGATTTAGGATCAGGGATATTTACTGATTTATAGATTTAGGGTTTTGCATTTTACCATTCATCTTTGACTAAATTCCTATTTTGGTTTTCACTATTTTACGTTTTCAATTTATAGGTTTTTAAGTTTGCAGTTTTCTCATATTAGTAATATTAGTTATTCTGGTTATTTGCAATTCGGTTTAGTTCTAAAACCGTAAGTAAAATACAGGTTCAGTTTACTAATCAAATAAAATAGTTTGTTTATTTTAATTTTAGTTCTATTTGATTTAATAGTTCCGGTTTGGTTTGGTTCATGGATTTTTTTGAACACTCCTAAATTATATTTATTTGTTTATTGAAGTGAAAACAAATTGAAAAACTTGACGCTTACTTGAAGCCTAGTTTCACAGATCTGGGTCTGTTCTAACCACAATATTTGTCAAATCTTTCAAATATTTTCTGATTTAAAGGACTTGTTCTATATTCTTTTTAAGAAAACCATTGAAAAAAAGTATATTTCAATTCAACCATTTGAATTTGGGCATCCAATTCTTCAATCTTTTGTACAATATGCGACATCCACTACTGATAAGAAAAAGATTCTACATTATCTCTACTTGTTTGAAATTATAGTGCATAATCATATGCCCGAAATAATGATATAATAAGGTGGAGAAACAAGAAGAAGCGCTAAAAGAAAATTCACATACACACATAATGGGAAATGGTTACAGTGGCCGCAATACCAATCTTGGCGTTAATTGTCCTTATTTTGATTCCAGCACCACCGGTACCACGGCGCGGTGGGGAGACTCCCTTGAAGTTTCCATGTGCAAATATTGGGACAAAGATGAGTCAGAAGTTTGGTCTGTGGGTTACAGAATAGGAAAAAAACTAGAGCATGGTTGTGGTTTTTCGCTGCGAGCGAAACATGACAATAGTGGCGTTGAGAGTATATATTTTACATTAGGTGACGACACTGATATCATGTCTGGTTTTTCATTGGATATCACAAGAGTTGGAAGGGATGGTCTCCATGGAGGAATAAGAGGTGTTACGACATCTGGGATATATAAATCTTCTATAAGTGTTAAACAAGATTACTCCATAGAGACCACTATTGTTTCCTATGGTAATTCCTACAGTGACACTCTTTTTGTTCTACAAATGAAGAAAAGGAAGAACCATGAAAATGCTTGCATGGTTACTATGGCACACTATTATGTTACCAAAGATGTTGGTCTATCTGCTGCTGCAAAGATTTATCTTAGTAAAGGAAAAGGTTTTGTTGTTGAAGTGAAGGGTCCTTTCAAACACCCAAGTGATGATTTGCGCCGAGTTATTTCTGAAACTTGTCGAACCGGCATCTGGTGTCCTGCAGCAAAATCTAGTTATACAAAACAACAAGATCGCAGTTCTTCGTTGGAGAACAATGGCACTGTAAGCCAATTTGTTAATCATGCTTCCAGTTCAAACAAAGGTCTTATCAATTCAAATGGATATACTAAAGGTGCCCTTAATCATTCTATCTTTCAAAATTGTAAATTTTCGTAAACTGTAATCTGGTCGTTAAGTTTACTGTTTACTTTGTTTGTACTCATCTATGGGGTTGCACTTCTTTTTTGTAATGTATGGATAATTTTTTATTCTCTTTTGTTTTGAGTATTGTTTTAAGCCTCTCTCAGGCTACGTACAATATTTTGGGCTCTGATGAGGTTTTTTTTAACATGCTTTTATATATGTGTTTCTATTTTCTCTGTTATTTTCGATTATGAGCTTTATCGTAGTTAGGGATTCATCCAATTAGTCTGGGAAATGGTTACCCATTCGACGAAGAGTTACATATACAATCGAGAGTAGTTATCCATGTAATCGGGGAGTTACCCAATTAGCATGAAGAATATTTACTCATTCGAAGGGGATTTATCCGTACTACCGTGAGTGGTTATCCATATGACCGTGGAGTTACCTAATTAGCCTTAGGAGTAGTTACCCGTTCGGCAGGAAATTACGCGTACGGTCAAGAGTGGTTATCCATGTGACCGGGGAGTTATCCAATTAGTCTGGGGAATGGTTACCCGTTCGGCGGAGAATTACCCGTACAGCCAAGAGTGGTTACACATGTGACCGGTGGGTTACCCAATTGGCCGAAGTTTTCTACTTTTGGGTTGACCTGCTTTGTCCTAAAACGCACCCATGTTCCTTTCATGTAATAATCTAAAATGGCGCACATGCATATGAATTAGGGGTGCCTCATTAAAAATCCTTGCTCATGCAAGAGAAAAGAGTGCTACCCATAATTTTTATTGATTAAAAGTCATTACACACTTTAACTATAAGAAAATTTTAGGTTGTCTACATTCTAAGTCCTAGGCAATTCGACTCCATCCAAGTTCTCTAATTAGTAACTCCCGTTGTTCAGTATTTACCAAACCTTATATGGGCCTTCACAATTTGGCGCGAGTTTTCCCTTCTTCTTCATGTCTGTAACCCTCTTCTGAATCAAGTCTCCTTTGAAAACCCCTCAACCAAACCTTTGTGTTGAACCTTCGTGTCATTCTTTTCTTTGTTGCTACTTCTCCGACATGGGCCATGGCTCTTATTTCTTCTAGCAAGTCGGTCGAGCTATCCAACCCTTCTTGGTTAATAATTTCATCAAAATTTTCCCAACGCCATGTCAGTGAATTGATCTCGACCGGTATCATTGCATCAGCTCCGTAGAACATTCGAAAAGGAGTATCTTTGGTGTTTGAATGTGTGATGGTGTGATAGGACCACATGATCTCATGAAGGTACTCGATCCACAAACCCTTGGCTTCGTCAAGCTTCTTCTTCATTCCAGATAAGATTATTTTGTTTGCCTCTTCTGCTTGGCCATTAGCCTGCAGGTGCTCCACCGATATGAACTGGTTTTGTATGCTGAGATTCATACAAAATTCACAACAGACGAGCTCGTAAATTGTGTGTCGTTATCAGATACAATGATGTCGGGTAAACCGAAGCGACAAATAATATTTATCAAGTAGAAACGTCTCACCCTTTATGTCGTGATCTGGGGTACAACCTCAGCTTCGACCTACTTGGTGAAGTAATCAACTGCCATTATCAAGAATTTCAGTTAGCTAGTCGCCAAGGGGAAATGAACGAGGATATCATACCCCCACTGATAGAACGACCATGAGGAAACCAACAAGTTCAATAACTCGGCCAATGAGTGTATAAAAGGAGTGTAGGTCTAACATTTTTCACACCGCTTGACAAACCGGGTGCAATCTTAAAGCATGCTTGGCCAATAGTATCCGGCCCTTAGTATTTCCCATGATAATTACCTTCCTCCGATATGACTTCCACACACACCTTTGTGCACTTCTTTCATGATTGTTCTGACCTCTTCCTCGTAAATGCATCTTAGCATCGGTGTAGATCTGCCCGTTTTATATAGTTGGTCGGCCACCATGAGATATCGGGCAGACACCTTCTTAATCTGACCGGCTTCAATCTCATTGTCTGAAAATGTTTCTTGAGTGAGAATCAAGTCCCGAGCATTTCCTAAAACCATGACTTCTTCGACCCACTTCAACCCTAACATTTTCTTCTCGGGGAATATGTGATACTTCAAAAAAATTTAATCCTTTAGCTAGTTGTAGTGTTCCCTGTAAATATTTTAATAGCAACATGTCTTTTGTCTGGTAGCTTCTCGTGATTTAGATAGCAACCTACTGGGAGTCTGTGCACACCAATAGATGGGTAAGCCTGACCTCCCTAGCTAATCTTAAACCTACTATGAATGCTTCATACTCTGATTGATTGTTGTTGGCTTGAAAATTAAAGCAGAGTTATTGTTCGAGAACCATATCTCCCAGCCCTTCCAACATTATCCCCGCTCCACTGACTTTTAGATTAGATGACACGTCCACCGAAAGGATCCAATATTCTGATACTTCTTCTGAAGAATGTGAGCTTAACTCGACCAAAACAGTCTACTAGTATATAAGATTTGATATTGCTTCAGGCCACGAATGTTATGTCGTACTCTAATAACTCTACGGCTCAGGGTACCATCCTTCCTGCCAGGTCTGACATCTTCAATATCTGATGTAACAACCCCTAAACCCTGCACATAATATACGGCATAAAATAGAGTAAATATCATGCATATTTAAGAGGGTGTCACATGTATTTCAAAACCATAACAAATACATCAGTCATGCTCATAACACTCATTTAAATTCATGTTCCATACACATATGCATATCGCAGTGGAATAATTCTCTCTTCACAAACGATATCAATAATTTAAATCTCATAATGACAATTATATAATAAAATATTAGACACTAAAGGTCACTCATCACATAATCCCAATACATCATAAATAAGGAAAGTATAACAAATATCTCTCAAAACAAACATGAGTTCAAACGTTCCTCCGTGTTACATGACAAGAGCATGACTTAAAACCTAAATAAGGATAAACAAAGAAATAGCTCCTCTGAATAATCTTCACGAGAAGTACCACTATCTTCGATACCTGAGCGATGTCGTATAAAACATTATTTCAACAGAAGCGTGAGAATTTGCATCATTATAGAACTATATAACAATAAGTAATGTATCACATACAAGCAACAATTTGAATCCATCATACTTCACATAATCATGTATACCATATTTTCCAACACAATTCACATATCCACATATACAACATTGCTCAATAATTCATGATTTAAAGATAATCAATAACAAATACCACAACTGTAATCATTCACATCAATATCACACAATCCACACCAATTCAACATTTCACATCGATAATGTGACTTAAATGAAACTCAATTCCATATGCATGTGGTACTAATTGTTATACTTACGAGGTTTTTAATTTTAAACATGGTCCACTCAAGACAAATAACCACTAATAATAGCTCGATTCGACCTTAAGCTTTCAAAACTACTTCCATTTTGGGACAAAGCAGTAGTTCTTGCAAAACTAGAAGACATTTCCTCTTGACACGAATGATGCATGTGCAATCTCAATAAATCATAATCAAATTAAGACCATCTCCATATCTTAATTATACAAGCATATTTCACATAATTCAACACATTTAAATTATCTTCACCAAATTGCACAACATACATCATATCAACATTCACATACAATTCATACTTATAACATTTATCAACTCAACACGTCACATAACATGTAATCAACAATAGTCAAACCATGTTATCCTAATTCATCATCAATTCGCAACGTACATATACATAAAATTCAAGTATTATGTCCATACTAAGAAGTCATCTGAAACTCATCAATGCATGTCTTCAATAATTCGTCACACGTGAAATACCACATATTTGTAAATACATACACATACTCATGAGTTATTCACATACAATTCACTTTCATAATATTCATCAATTCAATACCTCCCAATAGAACATAGCAAGTGTTGTACCCCAAAATTTTCCCTCCCATATTTCTCAAAACATTTCAAGAAAGATCCTTAAGTTGATCAAGGAAGTCCAAGGGTTGACCAAACAAGCCCTCTCCTAAGGCAGTCTACCTCAAATTAGGGTTTCATGTTGCATCAAGATACTTGAGTCCAAGGGATCCCAAATTCTCACCAATGTCCTAATATGTTCTCAAGATCATCCATGTCAAGTTTCAAGCCCTACAGAGAAAGTTTGCGAATTTTTTTTATTAATAACCATGTATTAAAAAAATATTTCGCAAATAACCGGGTTTCGGAAAAAATTACGCAAATAACCATGTTTCAGATGGCTCCACAAAGGAGGAGCCATCTCATTTGGCGCATGCACCTAGGGTTTTGCCCTAGGCGCCATCTCACTTGGCGCCTCCCTTGACTTTTAGCCAAGTGAGATGGCGCATGCTCCTTAAAAAGAAGAGGAGGCGCCATCTCACTTGGCGCCTAGGGCAAAACTAGGGTTTTTTGCTGTTTTATAAATAATTCGTCCGTTTCTTTGAAATTTATCAAACTTTCTCGCACTGTATTTTTATTTTGTACTCCCTTATTTACGTAATGACGTCGCCTATGATTTTTAGCAGAGATGGTTACGTTATATTCTCCGCCACGAAACCTGCGATGAAAATGAAATTCTGGCACATTCACTCCATGGAGCGTCTGAAGCGGGAGTTGATGCGGTGGCTAGATGGAGACATCGTCGAGGGGGAAAAATTCGAAGGATCCAGCGAAAACGAACAACAACCTCGCATGCGACAGGAAGATCTAATGTGTGGTTGGAGGAAGTCAAAACAGACAGTGATGTAATGCTGATGATGCATGGGTCAGATGAAATTGTGTTAACAGTTGTAATTTCCTAGATTGAATATCGTTAATCATTGTTGTACGCGAAAACCCTAATGTAATTTCCTATATTGAATTTCTTAAATTGTGTGAACAGTTTTATTAACGGAAAACCCATAATGTTTACAACACAAATATTGAAAAGATTTATTGTATTACAAAATTTATGTGGTCGAGCCAGACGCCCGATTCGGACAGTTTTTGCGATTGTGTCCGACCTGA